CAGTTTGCCGACCACTGACCTAGGCCATTATAGATTGTCCCCATCTTCCTCCCCCCCTCCAACATTCCTTCAAACCATGCCACATAATAATCTAGCCTTAGAAAAGGGAAACATGCTTTGGCACTTTAATAACTTTTAACATTCATACAAACTCACAATAACAAACAGGATACTAACCCCAACCCTCCCCCAAACTGATGAATGAGAACTCAAATTAAGGATGCAAAGCAATTCCAAATAAAAACTTCTAATGTCTCAAGCAGAACGACAGCAAGTGCTACACAGTACACTGAAGCCTGAGGAGGATGATTAAGTTCGTATTCTGAAATGATCAGGGATCAAGGTTACTTGGGTAGAAATAGCTTTTTTCCACCTCCAACTTCTGCTTTTATTTCTGTGCCTAGATGTGGTGGTTCCTAAAACATCCTCTGAGTTTTTTGACACTGCAGCAGGCCTAAAGGTAAGTGTGAGCACAGTGATGGTTATCAAGGTAAGAACGTGAGTTTTTTCCCCTCCAGAACAAGGTGGTGGTGGTAGGAAAGAGTCATCACTACTGCCTTGTTTCCAGCAATCAGCGAGAAACTAGTTCAGGTAAGAGGCATCTTGGTGAGCAGCAACCCCTTATCATATAACATGGTGGCCAAGGAAAGCTGGTCCTCCACACTGTCACAGGGCAGGTCCCCTACTCTCACAAACTCGGGGTAGGAGCGGAGTAAGAGTTCCATGGCATCAGCTTGCTGGGGTAATATCTCCAAGCACTTGGGCTCTTCCAGGTGATAAACACGGGAGTTTTCCACCGTGTAATAGAGAAACAAATGGCCTCCCTCGCCCAACAGCCGGGCTATCCCATCCTGAAGCATGTGCACTTCTGTTTCTGTTGTCAGCTGGGCTCCTACGTTCACAGGCTCTCCTGCCTCCCAGCGAATTGGGAGCCCGTAAACACTTAGTGCCCTCTCCCTGTCAGTTAGCACGGGAGGCAGAGAATCGTGGATGAAGTCTTTGGCTCGCTGGTCAGCCACAGCATCGACAGGAGCAAAGTGTCCCAAGCGGGCAACCAAGACTCGCACCTTCTCCATGAAAGCAGTTCTTCGAGGATCCTTAGAATCCGAATGCTGGGCCCCCATGTAATCCATGAAGTCTCGGGGCAGTCCCCTACGAAACTCCACATTTTCCTCCATGGCAGCCTGCACCGCCAGAGGCAGTACAGCCTCCAAGAAGTCACCCCAGGTATTGCGCTGGTACGTGGACAAGGTGAGGTGGAGAGAGTGCACCCCATCCTGGCATTCGGCTTGGTGAATGAAGCCCCGAGGAAAATAGAGCAAATCTCCAGGTTCCAGCACGGTCTGCAGCACCGGCTCACCAAGGTCTTCCTGGCTGAAGTTGGGGCTGGACGTCAGGGCCAATTCCTCAGTCGGGACCCGGGGTCGGTAGACACGCCAGAGTTTCCGACCTTCCAGCTGCAGCACAAACGCCTCGATGTCGTCGTAGTGGGGGGCAAAGCCCTGCGAGTTGGGGGGCGTGAGGTAAACGTTGGAGCCTGCCATACTTCCAAACTGCTCCTGGAGCACAGCCAAAAACTGCCACACGGTGGTCGAGAAGGCCTGGGGACAAAGGAGGCGCAGGGAGCAGCCGGCCTGGTACAGGGACCAC